AGAACACGAACAAATCACACAACACAAAAATAAGCACATCAATGAATTTTGTTGCATTTGGAGGAATAAACATTATTTATTGAGAATTCTGGGGACTTGGTACTCTGAAACATGATCATAACATGGTAAATCTACTGGAATGAGTCTTGACTCATTCTAAAAGGTTTGTGCTGTCACTGTATCAAGCTGCTACAATGTGTTAGACATCAATGTAAAAGGGTCATTTTTTTCAATGTAGGAGATTGAACCAAAGGCCTTACACATTCTAGACAAGCATTCTCTCACTGAGAATTATAAAAACATGGTAAGACAAATTTTATATCATATTAGGATCCATTGTGTCCTTAAAAATTCATTTAATCCCCCAAAATCAGACATCAAAAATAAAAATACAATATGGAGGAATCCAAAATGCAGAGACAATATTCAAGAGAGAGTTAGGTCAGAGAACAGTGCACCTGCACCAACAAGAAACAGGGATCTTTCAAACATGGGTGCCACCTTTGCCCAGTAAGCTCCACCAGCCATCTCAGTTTGCAGCTGTCTTGGGGGCCACCTTTGGTGTTCTTTAACTTCTTTCTCCTCCGAGTGGCCACTGATTGACACTCTCCTGAAATTCATCCAGACTCCCAGCAACCTGTTCATTTTCCACAGCCAGTCCCCCCACCCCCCACCCCGCCAGAGGCACCCCTGGCCTCTGTGAATCCTGAGACGCGTGGTCTGGAGCAGCAGTGCCAGTGTTTCTGGGACTGGTTAGGAATGGTTCAGATCTGCAGAATTTAGCGTGTTTGAGTGCTTCCTCAGAGACTCTGATGTTGGTCTTGACGGATGAGAACAACTGTCACTCTGTCTCTGTGGCGTGCTGTCTGTACAGCATGCTAAGATACCACAGAACGCTAAGTCAGGGAACATGCCTGTCACACTGAGAGGCATACCAAGACAGTAAGCAAGTGTGCTGGGGAAAGGGTGGAAACTGCAATGGAGACGGGGTGAAGTATGGGATGAGTAGGGACTGGCTCGGTCCAGATGATTAAAGATGGGCTGCAGACACGAACAGGGCTGTTCCCCACCCATCACCCTTTGTGTGTGTGTGTGTGTGTATGTGTGTGTGTGTGTGTGTGTGTGTGTGTCCCTCGGAAAAAGAGGCGTGGCGTGGTTTAGGAGGGCATCTTACTGTAGAGGACCCATTCTCCAACTTTTATAACCCTGGCTCCTGGAGTTGCCACAAGCCAGAATCAAGTTGTGAAGTGTCTCTTTAGGACTGGAAATCTCCAGGACCAAGGCCTTTAAAGCACACCTTTCCTTTTAATTACATGCTATCAAATTACTCCTTAAGTGAATATATCTGTTTATTTTTCTAGCAGCAGCAGCAGCATGAGTTCTCATTATTTCACTTCTTCATTAAACCCTTATTTTTTAAAAAAGATTTTTCAATTTTGTCAAGTTAAAACAAAAACAAATTCAGCAAATGGCTTTTAATCACTTTCTCTTTTCAGACGTATCTAATTCCAGATTTTTTTTCCTTCCCTCCCTCCTTTCCCCCCACCCCTATCCTTTTTTTGAGACCAGGTTTCTGTGTGTAGCCCTGGGTGCCCTGGACCAGGCTGGCCTCGAACTCAGAGATCTGCCTGTCTCACCCTCCCCAGTGCTGGCATTAAAGGTGTCAGCCACCAGTGCCCCAGAATTCTTGGGGCTGACAGGTGGTGTGACTGTAGCATTTGGAAAGTCACTAGGGAAATCGCTGAATGTCCTTGCTTACAATACTTCAGAGCCTTTTCCATTCCAAAGGAGCCCTTCGCCCTTTTACGAGAGTCCAATAACCACGCATTAATTTTTATTCTCCTAGAACTTAAAGGGGCTTGTAAACATCTTAGGGGCTGCATCTAATCAAAGTCATTTGAAAGCGTAACTAGCAGGATTCCGTGGACCTTAGTGGTGCACACATTTCTAGGATCCAAATCATAATTTGCTGATTTATGTCCACATAAGCCGTAAAGTTTGTCACTTCAGTTGGAATCTGAAGACTGGAAGAGACAGGTTTGAGATCTAGGGGCCAACCGGAATCAAACCGGAATCCAAGTGAGAAGATGTGCAAAGATGCGCAAGCAACGCTGCGCCGGGAAGGTCGTCCAATCAGAGTCGGGGAACGAAGCGGCGCAGGGCGGTGTTGCGCATGCTCGGCGCCCGGCCGCCGATTGGCTGAGAGGAGGCGGGAGACTTGAGTTGTCGTCATTCCGTCCTGCGAGGTGTTCGCGATTGTCAGTGTGGCGGGCGGGTCTCTGCCGCGGAGGCCCGGGAGGTGCGTCCGGGGCTGGTGAGGGTGGCGCGGTCCCGGGGGAGGGGGCTGTCCCCGCTGTCCCCGCTGTCCCCGACGCCGCCCTGGGCCCCTCGCGTCCAGGCAGGTGACAGTCGTGAGGATATAGATCCGCCAGTGCCCTCCTTAGGCGATTTGTTACCCCCTGGTTCTTTCTAGGCCCCCCCCCCCCCCTTAAATCAGTTATGGAGGATTTTGCAGGCAGGTGGACTGGAGTCCCAAAGCTTAAGGGGAATTTACAGTAGAAAGTTGAAATCTTACTGCCTAATGTGCCTGGAAGCCAAAAAGCTGCAAGGGAGGTCTGTTGCTGTCTGGAGGAGTTTTGTTTTCTTGCATCCTAGAGTTTGCACACACCCTCTCTCCTTTGAGAAGTCCAGAGGAAGGCATAGATTCTGGTTATGATCCTGTAGGCAGAACTGCGCGTCCTTCTGGCTCCTCCCACGGGACCTTTGTCGTCTCTACTTTCATAGGATTTTGTGGATTAAACAGACAACAGCAATCATAGGCAGTAATATTACAGAAAGTATTGAGGACTTACTCTGAGTCGTTTTATTCTGAATTCTTAAGTATTTAATCTCATAGTCCATGTTTAAGAGTGATTAATCAAATGATTTTGGTAACTCTGAATATGCTTGGTAATGACTGTCTAAGTGTTTCGTTAAATTGCAGTGAAGTACTGGGTGCTATTTGTTATGGTTAGAAAAACTCCGCTGTTTTAAAAGGAAATAGAATAGTAAAATCAAATTGCATTATAAACATGGCTTAAATTATCAGTATTTTGCTTATTAATTTATTCAAAACATTTTGTTGATGAATGTTGGTCTTGTTTTTAGAATTGCCTTAATTTTCCAGTGCTATGGTGAAACACCATAACTATATTAGTCAGGGTTCCCTAGAGGAACAGAAGTGGAAAACAAAACAAACCATTTAATTTGGGCCTCACAGTTCCAGAGGGTTAGAGCCCATGGCCATCATGGGAGCAGGCAGGCCTTGGAGAACTCAACTTATTTTTTTATTTTTTTTTTGTTGTTGTTTATTTTGTCTTTTTGAGACAGGGCTTCTCTGCATAGCTTTGACTGTTCTGGAACTCTCTTTGTATGTCAGGCTGGCCTCAGACTCATAGAGATCTGCCTACTTCTGCCTCCCAAGTGCTGAAATTACTGGGATTAAAGGCATGTACCATGAGAATTTAAGTTTTGATCCACAACTGCAGGCAGAGACAAGGCTTTTAAAACCTCAAAGTCCATCCCCAGTCCACCCCCAGTGACACACCCCCTCCAACAAGGCCATGCCCACTAATCCTTCCCAAACAGTTTCGCCGACTGGGGGCCAGGTATTCAAACATATGAGCCATGGGGGGGGCATTTTTATCAAACCACCATTAGAATGGTGAAGAAAACAAACATGATTGTTGTCACTATGTGTTTTATGGATTAATGAGTTTTAAAGTACAGCATGCATTACACACACACACACACACACACACACACACACGCACGGTTAGTTTTTTTCTTTACATTGGTTAGAGAAGATGTTTGTTTTCTACCCTTTTTCTCTTTACTCTTTGGGGGAGCCACCACCCAGCTCCCAAATAAATCACTTTTAGAGTCTTGTTCTTTCTTCTATAAGCTTGGCTCATTTCTAGCCACCTTTTCTTAACTTTAATTATCCTACCTTTTGCTGCTTGACTTTTTCCTTTTCTTACTTCTGTGTATCTCATTTTCACTCTTACTCTGTGGCTGGCTGCGGGGCTGGCCCCGAGTACCCTCCTCTCCTTGCTCCTCTTGCTCCTTCCTTTGAGACTTCTCCTATTTATTCTCTCTGTCTGCTGGCCCCGCCTATCCTTGCTCCTGCCTTTCTATTGGCCGTTCAGCTCTTTATTAGACCATCGGGCGTTTTAGATAGGTAAAGAATCACAGCTTCACAGAGTTAAACAAATGCAGTATAAACAAAAGCAACACATCTTTACATTGCTAAACAAATGTTCCACAGCATAAACAAATGTACACACCTTAAAATAGTACTCTACAACAAGAGGATGTGATTATAGCATTATGAAAATTAACCTATGCTCAAGTTGACACAATTCAGTTTACACTTTGAAATTCTTTTCAGTAGCATTTATCTACTGAAAATTTCAGTGTCTAGCTGTTGAGATTGTTACTTTTTTGGGGGGGAGCTGTGCATAGGTGTGTGTGTGTGTGTGTGTGTGTGTGTGTGTGTTACTCTTGCCTGTGTAGGAGGCCAGAGGTTGATGCTGAGATGTCTTTCTCAATCACTCACCCACCTCATTTGTTGAGTTGAGATGCTCTCTCTTTCACTAGACTTGTCTTGGCTGGAGCACTGGCTAGTGACTGTGAGATGCACCTCTCTCTGCCTTCTGTCTGGAGTTTCAGTGACTGACGTGGGTGTTGGGGAGTCCCAACTTGGGTCCCCCTGCTTACACATAGCTGTTTTATTCACTGAATGATCTCCCCAACTCCCAGGTTTTCTAAGGCTTATCCTCCCTATTTAAAGAGGATTATTTTTAGTGTATATGTATGACTGTTTGCTTCCATGTATGAATGTGCACCAGGTATATACTTGGTGCCTTCAGAGGCCAGAAGAGAGATTCTTTGGGCCTGGGTTAGGGACATTTGTTCTAATCAAGTTCATGGATGTTTTTATTTTGGTATTTTTCAGGTTAGTGTTGCTGAAGATGAGAAGGTCTGCAGCACCAAGTCAGGTGCAGGGAAATTCCTTTAAAAAACCAAAATTCATACCTCCAGGAAGAAGTAATATAAGCCTGAATAAAGAGATTACAAAGATGGACCCAGATATAAAACCATTTCAGGTAAATAAAAGAAGGGAATCATAATATGAAATATATATATACTGCCCAAACTAAGTATGGTACCTTATACCTGTAAGCCAAACACTTGGAAGGCGGAGGCAGGAGGATTGCCATAAGCTCAAAACCAGCTTAGGCTTCATGAGTTCAGTCCAACCTAGTCTGTGTAGTGAAACTGTCTCAAAAGCAGTCAAATAAATAAAGAAAGAAAGAAAAAAGAAAAAGAAATAACAGCAACAAAAAGCAAAACCTTGTTGCCTCTTAGAACTTTCAGTGTCTTCTGATAAAAATCTTCCAAAATTCTTTGAAATAATAAGGTGGCCTTTGGTAATAGTGCTGGTGGCCATGTCGGCAGAGCAGCAGGTGGCGGCTGAACTTTAGGGGATGGGCCCACCAGGAAGCTAAGCAGGATGGGTGAGCCCCCCAGGCCCCTGAGGGCCTCCGCTTCAGCATGTCTCTTAGTACTTGTCTTCCCAAGTTTGCCAGTGCCACTCTTCTCTGCTAGCTGGCATGGTGTGAATGGGTGGGGTCCCCGCTGCCTGTGATGTGGTGTGATTATTCATGGAGATAGCCGGTTCAATTGAACGTTTGTACCTGTGGGTTATTAGGAAGATGACTTCCTCTTACGTGGTGCAGTTCAATTGGAGCAATGACTTTATACAATTATAGTGTTAATTTAATTAGCATTTTGGTGATTGAGGTTTTTTTTTTTTTTTTTTTTTTTAAACAAATATAGTTAGGAATTATGATAGAGGTTAGTGTAGTGGGAAAATTAATATAGGTAAAGGCAGGATATGGTGTTGCCCCTGTCCTTGATAAAGCAGGGGCTGCTGAGGATAGAAAATCAGAACAAGGAAGTGTCACATAGCTAGAATTTAGGTGTTTTACTTGAAGAGCCATATAGACTATGGTTCAGGTTAGTGGTTAAGGAAGACAATCGAGTCCCAGGAGTTAGCTCAAGTTCTTTTAATCTTGATGCTGGGAAATGTGTTCTTGGGTTTAGGTATGCATAATAGCTAAAACAAAGCTTCCAATAATGACTTTGTGTAACTAAGAAAGCAAAGAATTAGATTAGTCAAGATAATTGGACAGGACTTTAAATTGTGAAAAGTGAAACTAGTAACCTGTTTTTCTGGCAATTATAAAAGCTATTGCCTATGTAAACAGTTGTGGCTGAAAGGCCCTGGTCTGTGCGAAGTGTAGAAGATGAATGTTTAGCGGAGTGCAGGTTTCTCAGAAAGTGCGTGAAGATGTGGCGTAGAGATGTATCAGGGCTGATTTGTTCCTGAAACATGTTTTTATGGTGATTATGTAGTTATGGGGAAAAAAATCCCCTCTTTAAAATGAACTTGGTGTGAGGAATATAAAAAGGATGTCTGAAAATAAAGAGTAGAAGAGAAGTTTTTATCCCTCAACAGAGAAGTCTTTTTCTCACTGACTCTGCATCTCGTTCCCAGTCTTTCTGACCTGTAGAAGGCTGGACCCTCTCTACAGCAGTAAGTAAAAATCCTTTCAAGGAAGAGGGAGACTTTTAGAAAGTCATTTCATGGGCTGGCGGGGAGGCTCAGTGGGCAGAGTCACTTGCCACCAAGTCTGACAACCTGAGGAGAGACTACCATAAGTTGTCCTGTGACTTTACATGTGTTCTGTGGCATGTGCACACATGCATACCTGCAGAATACACAATAAATAAACGTAGTAAAAAAAAAAAGTCTAATTAGTGCTCTTGTAAGTTATTGGTTCGATGAGTGGAAATTTTATGTATGTCTGTGCACCGTGTGCATGCAGTGCCCCCCCCCCCCCAGAGGGCAAACAATTGGATTCCTGGTAACTGGACCTCCAGATGACTCTTAGCAGCCATGTGGGTTTTGGACATTGAACCCAGGTCTTCTGTAGGAGCAGTTAATGTTTTTGACTGCCTAGCCATCTCTTCAGTTCTCAAAGGATCATGTGTGCTTTAGATCTAAGAAGAAAGTTCTTGTGTGCACAGGGGCCATATAAAACATAGCAAGTACATAAATCCTTTTTACTCTATAATTTTTTAATCCATGTTTTGGATTTTAAAGTCTTATTTTTTTTTACTTTAAATTTTATGTGTATGGACGTTTTATCTGTATGTATGCCTGGGTACCAACCACATGCATGCTTGGTGCCCATGGAGGCCAGAAGAGGGCATCAGAGTCTCTGAGAATGAAGTTACAGGCAGTAGTGGGCTGCCACTTGGCCCTGGGAATTGAACTCAGGACCTCTGGAAGAGCAGCCAATGCTCTTAACTGCTGAGCCATCTCTACAGCCCAAGTCTTACTTTTTACAAATTTTATTTGGAGGTAAAGCATATAGCATAAGCTTTATTATAATTTGTTTATTTACTTTTGAGTCAAGGTCTCTGTAGCTCAGATTGGCCTGAATGTCTGTGTATTCCAGGTTGGTTTCCAAGGTGCTTTGAGCATCCTGTCTCTGCCTTTTTAGAACTGAGATTATGGATACCTGGGTTTTGAGATTTAAATGTACAATTAAATGGCATTGATTTCTTTTACATCATTGTGCAATCATCCTCATTGTTGCCAGTTTTCTCAGCAGCCCAAACAGAAACTTTGTGTGCATTTAACAGTGACTCTGTTCCTGAGACTCCACTCATTGAGCAGACTACTGTATTCTTTCACTCAGCCTTTGGTTAGTGACTTTTATTTTCCATAAATTTCATGCCTTATTGTGCAAAGAAGTGGAATTGTGTGCTATTTGCCATCTGGGGTCTGGCTTATTTCACTTATAGTTATTTCCAAGGTTCAACTATGTTGTACCAATATACTGAACTTCTTTTGTTTTGTTTTTCAAGACAGGGTTTCTCTGTGTAGCTCTGGCTGTCCTGGAACTTGCTCTGTAGCCCAGGCTGGCCTGGAACTCCGAGAGCCACCTGCCTCTGCTAGGATTAAAGGCGTGCGCCACCACTGCCCAGCCTTTTTTAGTTGTTTATTTTTATTTCATGTGCATTTGTGTTTTTGCCTGCATGTATGTCTGTATGAGGGTGTTGGATCACCTGGAACTGGAGTTACAGATAGTTGTGAGCTGCCATGTGGGTGCCGGGAATTGAACCTGGGTCCTCTGACCACTGAGCCACCTCTCCAGCCCCAAGCACTTGATTTTCTGAGACGGCATGTTGTATAACTCAGGCTGGGTTTAAACTGCTGTGGAGCTCAGGTTGGCTTTGAACTTGTTAAGTAGCCTAGGCTGGTTTGAGACCCCAGCAGCTCTCTTATCCCCTATACGTATTGTAGAAACTGGCAGCTTGTTTTAAATTTAGAGCCTGTTATGTAGAGGTGTGGGAAATCAGATTTAATTCATGCATAGAATACGTATTTCTTTTTTTCTTAGGGTGCTGAACAGTCAGAAAATGGTCCAGGCGTGTGCAGTTCAGAGCTTCAGCCTGCTGAGGGAAGCAGCAGGGGAATGGGTCACAGGGCTCTGCTTCCTGCAGGTAGGATAGTGATTTTACTGTATTCATACTCACTTGTCACGTCAGAAATGATTATTCGGGGGGCTTAGTAACGTGATAATTGTTGATGTAATGCCACTAGATGTTTTTTGCTTCAGATTGTCCGTTAAAAATTTATCTTTAGAAGCTGAATTTATAACCATTTAATTAAAAGGCTGCGTGGTTAGAATTTTGCCTTTCATGGCAAGGCCCTGGTCTGTGCCCCAGCGCTGGCTAAGTAAGCAGTCAGACAGCCCCTAAAACTATGCAATTGAAATTTTGTCTTTTGCAGTAGGTGTATGTTTAAGACTATAGGAAAGTTGTTGATCAGGTACAATCTTTACGTTCCAACTAACTGTGTTTGAAGTTCTGTAATAAACATGTTGAGACTGCTAAAGTTGAAGAGATAAGTAAATCATGACTTTATTGTATAGTCTGTGGTAAGTAAGGTCTGAAGAAGGTCCGGTGTTCTGGAGGTCAGGGAGACAGGAATGAGATGCAGAATCAGTGAAGAAAAAACACATAGACTTTTTTCTCAGTGGAGGCAGTGGAGAATTCCCCCACACCCATTCACACCATGCTGGCAGAGAAAAGTGACAGGGGCAAACATAGAAAGACACAGCAGTAGCAAGAGACATTCTGGAGCGGAAGCCCTTGGGGCCTTGCCTGTCTAATAGTCACCCATCGGTGCCTTAGTTTCTGGTGGGCCGAACTTCTGAAGCTTGGTGGCCACGGGCTGCTCCTCTGATATGGCCACTGGTAGAGGTCAAATCAGATTTGAATTATTAATGCAGGAAACCTAAACATTTAACCTATGTTCCATCTCTTCATGGTTGAATTGAGCTGCAACAATTATGTTCCTTTGTATCTGCTAGAGATACAGGTAACTTAAATATAAGTGAGATAGCTCCCAGTTTATTCAGCCTTGCAAAAGGCATACTTTTATTCATGTTTCTTTGAATGGGCAGATTCTGGGAGCTGGCCTCAACTCAGGGCTACCGAATACTAACTGCATAATCATTTAGTCTTTTTTTTTTTTTTTTTTGTGAATTTGCTTCTTGTAGGCAGAGGAAGGAATTCTGTGTTTTCCTGGTTAGCCACCCTACCTCCACGTGTGCCCTCCAGTACCTTTGTAAAAGACAGATTTATTGTCAGAGTGAGGACGAGAAAGACTTCCGGGGCTGGGTTCAGTTTAGGAAGGGTCCACAGGCTTGTTAGTGTGGCTGCTGCCTGTCTGATTGGCTTCCCTCCCTCCCTCCCTCCTTCCCCCCACTTCCCTTTTTCCCTTTCTATCCCAGGCTTTCTCCTTCACCAGCAGGCCTAGGGTAGATAATTAATGTACTTAATCCTGTGTGCCTGGTCTCTCTCTCTCTCTCTCTCTCTCTCTCTCTCTCTCTCTCTCTCTCTCTCTCTCTCTCCCTCCCTCCCTCCCTCCCTCCCTCGTTTCCTCCCTCCTCTCTTCCTTACTTATACCATGGCAGCTGATCTCTTTATCTGAGAATGATGTTTTTACTATGGGACATAATATAATCTGTTACTGATTGTCAATTTGTGTTTTTCCCATAAAATTTGTCATTCTCTTCCATACTAAATAGGAGAAGGAGTTAAGAGTTAAGATAAATTGAAGAGTGAATTAATTTACTTAGCCCTTAGCCCCTTCTCGAATTTAGTGAATTCGCTGGACTGGAGAAACTGTTCCAACTGTCTGATAACTCCCCTGCCTGTTACTCCGAGGTCACATTGGAGGAAGAATCCCTGAGAAATGTGTTCCTTGGTGGGTTTCTGCAGAGAATTTACCATAGACAAACATGGAGACGAGAGACATCTATTGTGTACAGATTGTACCTTTTGGCAGGCTTTTAATTCTAGATCTAATTCACTTGTGAGGGAGTGTAATTCTGTATATTTCAGTTAAAATATGTTCCCACATTACCTTTTTGTTTTGAAAAATTCCCCACTTGTAAACAATTCAGTTAGCATGCTGAATTCAGCATTTGATAATATGCTTCATTTACAGTTTCTCTCCTCCTATGCCCTATGTTGAGCCTGTGGTCTTATGCATGTTAGGCGTGTTCTTTACCACCAAGTTCCGGGAGATGGTTTGTTTGTTTTCTTTCTTAGTAGAGCGAACCCCAGTAAGTACACGTGACTGCATTCTGCTCCCTGGGTGCTTGCCTCTTAGTAGCACTCACTGTATATTTGCAGACGATGCTCTTTGAGGATGTAGGTGGAAGTTTTCCTCTAATGACTTCCCAACGATCAGAGAATGTTCTTTCTGTGGAGAGAGTGGTAGAAGAGCCAATTTCTGGATAGCCCTTGTCCTAGTTACAGTTCTTATTGCTGTAATGAAGCACTGTGACTAAAGGTCTGGGGAGGAAAGGATGTCTTTACCTTATGCTTCCAAACCACTGTTCATCAGCCAGGGAAGTCAGGGCAGGAGTGCGAACGGGAGCTGATGCAGAGGCCATGGAGGGAGCTGCTTATTGGCTTTTCCCCCATAGCTTGCTCAGCCTGCTTCCTTATAGAACCAGGACCACCAGCCCAGGGTGACAGCACCCACAATGGGCTGCAGGGTGACAGCACCCACAATGGCTGGGGTCTCCTCTATCTATTGCTAATTAAGTCAGTGACCTATGGGCTTATCCACAGCCAGGTCTTATGGACGCATTTTTCTCTCAGATGACTCTAGCTTGTCCAGTTGACATAAAAGTGTTCAGCACAGCCCTTTTTCTTTATCAGTAGTCTAAGTGAGTCATCCTAGCTTGGGCCTGTGAGAACCAAATCCTGGGAGAAGGGCATTGTGAGTTGAATATGCTCAGTCCTGGTGTCTCTGAGTGTGATTTTCTATTTAAATGGGACTCTGCAGATGTAGTCATGTTAAGATGGAGTCATACCTGTTTATGGTTGTGATGGTTATTCTTGGTTGTCAACTTGACCACATCTGGAACTAAAATCAAAAAGTGGAGGGCACAGCTGTGAGGGACTTTTGCTTAATTTGAAGTAGAAAGGCATACCTTTAGATTTTTTTTTTTTTTTGAGCTGGCAAAGGATACACCTTTAATCCATATCTTGAGGTGAGAAGACACATCTTTAATCTGGGCAATACCATACTCTGCTGGAAGCCTATGTAAGGAAGGAAGCTTTTGCTCTTTGCCTGCTTGCAAGCAAATCTGTTCTTTACTGGCGTTAGAGACTACTTCTTCAGGGTTCCATTGTGCACTGCAGATCAGCTGAGACATCCACCCTCCTTGTCATTCCTCTTTGTTCCCAGCCTTCATTAGAATAAAGTATTATGAACGCAGTCCTCCATTTGTCCTGCCTGACCGTCATTGTCAGCTCGGCTGGGTTTAGAGTAACCTAGAACATAGGTGTCGTGAGTGAGTGTGCAGTTTAAGGAAGGAGGGAATACCAAAGCTGAATGTGAACCACAGTCCCATGGGTCCGGGCCCTGGACTAAATAAACAGGGCAAAGGAGACACGGCAAACTGCTAGTGTTCCTCTTTGTTTGCTGTGGGCTGTGAACCTGCAACCACACACACCTCCCTTGTCATGATGAAACCTACCCTCGGACCCTTTCCTCCCTCCTCGCCGCATCATGTCAGCTGTTTGGTCACAGCAAATACCTCTGCGCTGCACAACAGTGTGATGATGGATGGAACTCTGATCTAACTGAATTTCGGTACCGTTGTCCAATCTTTCTCAACCCTTTCCTTTGTAAGAGTTAAGGGTTAAACATACAATAAATTGTGATAAAGTCTCTGGCGGAGAAATTAGATAAGTGTTTTTCAAATGAGTATTAGGTCCCTAGAAATGGTTAGACATACTCTCAAGATTTATAAACTCTTAGAGATGTTAGAACTTTTATTTTTTATGACTGATGTTAATAAATATGTACATATTTGCTAAGTCTTTTGGATGTCTCCCTTTTATGGACAGATTGTAAGTGGTACAGTCTTACCAAACGTAATTTTCTGTTCAAAAGAATGGGAAAGTGTTGAGCTGTGTCATTTCCTATTGGAGAGAAGGCTTGCTGAGTATGGAGGAGCCTGTGCCTGATCTGTTAGTATTCTAACATTGTGGTTAGCACTTTAGGTATAGCAAAAGGTCATTATCAAATTAATGTGATTTTTTAATTGTGATAGACATAACAATCCACCATTTTAACCATTTTAAAGTACATAATTCAGTGGTTAGGGTTAGGGTTAGGGCATTTAACAAATAAGTGTTGTGCAACAATCATTTCTATGTAGTTTTTCACAGCATTTTATCTACTTTCTGTCTCAAATAGGATTTGTCTGTTCTGGATATGACAGTTAGTAAATACGGCTGGAGCTGGGTGGTGGTGGCGCACACCTTTAATTCCAGCACTCGGGAGGCAGAGGCAGGCAGATCTCTATGAGTTTGAGGCCAGCCTGCTCTACAGAGTGAGTTCCAGAATAGCCAGAGCCACACAGGGAAACTGTGTCTCAAAAAATCAAAGGAAAAAAGAAGATGAAGAAAAAGAAAGTAGGGCTGGAGATGGCTTAGCCAGTAGAGGTGCTTGCCGCCCAAGCCTGTCACCGGGCTGGAGATGGCTTAGCCAGTAGAGGTGCTTGCCGCCCAAGCCTGTCACCAGAGTTCAGTCCTCGGAACCCACATAAAGGTGGAAGGGGACAGCCAACTCTGCAAGGGTATCTTTTGACCTTTACACATGCACTGTGGCATGTGTGCTCATATACAATAAACTATTATTGTATATAAGTAAGGCTTTAAAGGGAAAATACAATAAATAGTCACTTGTGGATTTTTAAAATAGTGCACGAACATTGTATAGTAGAAAGTCTTCCCCTTATGTTGAGACATCTAGTCTATTTCTTTTCCCTAGACCAAAAGCGATTTGGGGAGGAAAGTGTTTATTTCATTTTATGACTCACAGGTGACAGTCCATTTGAGGGAAGTCAGGTCAGGAACTCCAGGCAGGAACCTAGAGGCAGGAGCTG